CTTCTGCATCCCGCATCCCCCATCCTGCATCCCTCCTTCTGCATCCCACATCCCGCCCCCGCCACCGGTGACCAGGACCTGCAGGTCACTGTGGAACTGCTGCCTCCCCGGTCGTTCCGAGGCACCGGAGCTGCGGGGCTGGGCAGGACGGTGATGGCCACTGTGCCGGCACCGGGGCTGAGCCACATGCTGGAAGGTTCCAGAGCTGCCCTTGGAGATGCCTCTGCTCCCCAGCAGAGCGGCACCGGGCTCTCTGGAGAAAGTTCAGTTGCCAGAAAGAAGAAGAAAACTGAAAACATCATGAAAGCCCCAAAATGGCCCCGTGCTTTAAGGCCGTTTGCTTATCCTTGTCCTCAGAGCAGCCAGTGGGAAATTTTTAGAACAGAAAAGAGTTCTGTTTCCTAAAATGATGATGAACTGTGTCAAACAGCCCTTTCGGCAGCAGTTCCCCTCCCCGGGGGCCCACGAGCGCCAGCACTGTGACCCCACTGAGCTGGCAGCCAGCCCGTGTGCCTTCCAGGCTGGCAGAGCTGTGCCCGCGCTCCCAGGAATGAGCTGGTGGCAACCGCAGCCCTCAGCGGGGTCACGGCGACTCGGGTGCCCCGACATGAGGGACGTCGGCCAACACTGGGGCTTTCTCCAGACCCAGACCGTGGGCAGGCACCAAGGGGAGGGAGACCAGGGCCCGGCGTGCCCCGTGTCCTGTCCCCGCCAGAGCAGAGTGACCACAGTGGCACGGTGGGGTGGCACAGTGAGGTGGCACAGTGGGGTGGCATGGTGGGGTGGCACAGTGGGGTGGCACGGTGGGGTGGCACTGGGGACAGCCTGCAAGGCTGAGCCACCAAAGGGAGCCAGGGTGTGCAGCACACAGAGTGAGGGAGGACGGAGCTGTGGGAGGATGGAGCTCCTGCGGGTTTTCTTTGAGCCAACATGAGAATGGCCACATTTTACACAGGATTTCAAGAATCTTCAGAACTTCTGCCTTGCAGGAGCCCTTAGAACCCCTGAGAGAGGTTGTTAAAGCCCTTCTGAAAACACAGAGAATGAGAAACATCACAGCTTTTACTGGTTTAAAGCATCTCCTGACTGTTTAAACCAATTGCAGGATTTTTTGGTGTCCTGACCTGATTTACAGCTGTGTGTACGGGACAAGAAACCCACTGAGGACTGCCAGGAACCCACCTGGCACAGGGAGCTGCTCCCAACTCAGGGCATCCAGATGGGTAATTGTGCAGTGGGGTGGGCCAGGGAGAGCTACAGAGCTGAAAACTCTGATCCTGCAAGGAGTCCCACGTGGGCGGATTCCACTGCCTTCATGGGTCTCTGTGCAACACATAAATTTCAGATGTCAGTGCTCCACTAAGTACATTTCGATTCTAAATTTATCACACAGATGTGTCTGCTGCAGCGTCTTTGGCCTCTCCAAATTCTTCCTCTGAGAAGAACTCTCTCAGGCCCAGGCTCAAGCTTTGGAACTGCTTGTTTTTTTATCTTCTGTCTGTATAAAAACCTACAAGGCTTTACTTGTGCTGGAAAATCTCAGAATAAATCCAAATGTTTTTTGTAAGAAAGCAAACCAGGCAGCTGTGGGTTGGGAGACAAGGATTGTTGGGGCAGTGCCTTGGTGCTCATTCCAGTTTGTAATCACTTAATACAAGGGCTAATGGCAAAAAAAACCAGTTTAGTTTCCCAAATGCCGCTATTTTGAAGGCATCCAGCTCTGGAAAAGTTACAGCTCCAGGAGAAAACATTTCAGAGAAACTAGGAGCCAGAAAAAACAAGGAGAAAAACCTCAAGCTGCTGCTCCAGCTGCATTGCATCCGTGCCCACCCCAGGAGTGCTCCGGCCCAGAACCAGGGCACAGCACAGCCCTCTGAGCCGGCAAACCTGGCCTCGTGCTGCCCGTCAGAGCCCTTGGCGAGGGCTGGGCTGGTACAAAATAATTGCAGGAGGATCCAAGAACAGCAACCAGCCCTGAGAAGTGTGGGTGGGAATGCTCCCCTGCTCCAGCTGGGGATTCTCATGGCCGTGGGGGCAGCTCAGCTGCCCGTGTCCCCAGGAACACCCTCCTGCTCTGGCTCCCTCCTGTGTGGTCACCTTGTCAGGCTTCTCCAGAAACCCAGACTCCAAAGCTAGATGCAAGATTCCCGTTTCAGACAGAGAAAGCTGTTGTCTCCTGAAAGGGCTCACTGGTAAAGAAAAGCAAGGGGCCTGAAAAGCACAGTGTCAGAATCATGAGGGGCAGGAAAACAGATGTAAGGAGAGGAAAAAGGTGCTAATTGACAGAAAGAAGCCGGTGCTGGTCACTGCAAATCCGAAGCCTCAGTGATTCACAGCACAGGACACTGCCCTGGCATTGTGGCAGCACGGGAATATTCAGCCTCTGCAGAACAGCTTCTCCTGTCAGAAAATGCAGAAACCCGGGGCTGGGGACTGCAAACACAGAGTGGGGCCGTGTAGAGCCCAGGGCACTGCCAGTCCCACGGACACAGCCCTGGGCAGCCTCCCTGGGGTGTAGGGCCAGGACCCCACCGGGGACCTGCCCACAGAGAGGGCAGCAGCAGGGACAGCACTCAGGCACCGGAAAAAGAGGAACAAAACACACCGGGACAGTTCTTTTTGACTTCATGGAAACTTTATAAACACTTGTAGCAACCTACGTTTGTACACACAAAAACAGCTCCCAGGCTGATGCCAGGGGGCTGCCACCCACACGGGGCAATCCCGAGTTCCAGCTGTTGCTCCTGCGGCACTGGCAGCAGGAACTGTGCCCAGAGCAATGGGGACTGCACCTCTATGGCAGCAGGGATTGGGTCCCACAGCCCCCCTCACCCCCAGCCCCCCACCACTCCACTACTGGTTCCATGTTCAGCTGCGCCCACAGAGGCGGAAAAACCAGCACAGACACACAAGTGACAAAGGGCTTTAAAAGGACACAATGAAACATGTCTGCAAGAAGTTGCTTCCTCCCCACTGTTCACACTGTCAGACTGAAACTCAACTGCTCTTAGACCCCCTGCCCGTGGAGCCCGGCTCTGTCTCGGGGGTCTGTGAGCAGGAGGGGGATGTGACAGCCACTGCTCCTGCAGGATGGGTGCTGGGGGTGTCCCCTCCAGAGCCGCCCACAGCAGAACCCTTGGAGCTTCCCAAACTGACAGGCTTGAGGGGTCCCTAAAGCACAGCCCTGAGCAGGGAAGGAAGCTGGGAAATGCTGGCCTTGTGTGTGGGAGCCACCAGCCTGACAGCCCTGGGGCAGTCACCCCAGGAGGGGACGAGGCTGCCACTGGGCCGGTCAGAGCAGCTCCCTCTGACTTCATCTCCATCCTACTTGCTCCAAGACACCTGTCCTGGAGCTGCTGGCAAGGGGCTGCAGCAGGAGGGGCCTAGCACACCCCAAGGTGCTGCTGGTGCCTGTGGCACAGTCTCAGCCACCACAGCACAAGGCTGGTTTGGTTTTAAAGCCTCTTTCATGTACCAGATCCAAAGGAGGGAGCAACTGGGGCACTGCTGAAGCCAAGGGAGCAGGAGCACCATGGACACGACATGTGTGAGCACCAGCGTGTGACATCCAGCAATAACAGACACAAGATCACACACAAGGCAAAGCCCTGGGAGACGGGAAGGACAGCGGCAGCATCCCATGGGAAAACCTGCGCCGGGCAGGACACAGCATGCACCAGGGATGGAGCACCTGGGAAGCAGCTGGTGGAATGTTTGGCCACTCTTTTGGAATGCTCCCAGCACCTAAGGAAAACCATTCAAAATGGGGAAATTGCCTTTGGGCTGGCAGAGGAAGCAGGGAAGCCACAGGCTGCTGTGTATGGCCCCAGAGCTGGAGCCGCAGACAAGCCTCTACTGCTACGGGGGTGCACGGGGTGGTCCTGGCCAGGGACAGCTCCTGGGTCAACAGGCATTGCCCACAGGACCACTGCTGAAGGACAGACTGGGCATCTCAGACTGGAAATCAATAAACAAGAAAACAAGAAACTGGGCAGCTCTTAGAAAAATGGTGGGTTTGACCCACATTCAGTGAGTTTCAGATCCTCAGCACCTCTGTGCTGGCCCACCAGAATCACCCCAGAATAGACTTCTTGGTGTGCCTGT